ATTAAAAGGTATAAGGTCTGTCCTGGGCCAACGCTTTCAAAGTCTTCCTCATTTGCTTGGCCTCACTGCAGGCATTGTTGCTGGTTCCTCAGAACTTCCAGAAGGCTGAACTTCTAGAAGCCTGGTCTTTAACAAGAACAAGCAACACCTGGTGGTACTGTATCCCAGGGATCACCAGGATCCTAATGACAAGGCTAAAGACGGTGTGTCCTAGGGCAAATGAGTGGGCAAGAGGCAGTGACAGAGAGGTAGATGAAAGGAATTTTGTAAGTACGCTCAATCTAGGTAGGTGGCACAGCATGATAGAGAGCTTAATCTAGAATCAGGAAGACCTGAGTTCAAATCCAGCCTTAACTGGCGCTGTGAACCTTGACAAATCACTTAACAATTGTCTATCTCAGTTTCCTCATCTGTAAAATGGGAACAATAATAGCACACACATGCACGCGTGCACACACACAACCTCTCAGGCTTGTTATGAGGACAAGATGTGATAATATTTGTAAAAGCATTTTATAAACCTTAAATCACTGTATAAAATGCTCTGATGATGGTTGATGATTATAGTTTACCTTCTCGATAAAGTATATCATATTTTTCTAGTGGAGAATATAGAGATATGTGAACCAGCCAATGAATTCAGAATATTCAGAACCTATTGGATCACCAGACAGAGTATTCATTAATGGCTCCATGTTTATGTGGCAGAAGGTTTCTAGTAGAATACCATAGGGATCTGTGCTTGGCTCTGTACTGTTTAACATTTTTTTATCAGTGACTCGGGTAAAGGCATGCATGGCATGCTGACTAAATTTGTAAGTGACAGAAAGCTGGGAGGAAAACTAACACACGAATGACAAAATTAGGTGGTGAAAGATCTTAACAGATTAAAGGATTGACCTCTGTCTAATAAAGTTTAATTAAGTAGGGATGGGGGCAAAAATCTTTGTGTAATATATCTCTGATAAGGGTGTCAAAAGTATATAGGGAAATAACAAAACTATATGAGGACTAAAGCCATCCCCCAGAGGATAGTAAATGGATATGAATCAGAGGTTTACAAAAAAATTGCAAACTATTAAAAAAAGCATATAAACAATTATTCTTAATCATTTAAGATAAGAGCAAATCATAACAACTTTAAAGTTTCACCTCACACAGCAAATTGGCAAACATAACAAAATATGGGAACAGTCAAGGTTGGACGGGTTGTGGAAAGACAGGCTATAGTGTTGATGGAGCTGTGGAATTGGTCTAACCATCCTCGAGAGCAATTTGGAGTTGTGAAAAAAGTGACTGAAGTTTCCATACCCTTTGACCCATACATCCCGCTACTAGGTACATACCTCAAGGAGGCTCAAAGAAAGTTCCACGAGCACAAGAATATTTATAAATAGCAGCACTTTTCATAATAGCAAAGAATTGAAAACAATGTGGATGTCCATAGATTGGATAATCCTAAACAGATTATAGACATTGAATATTAATTAATTTGACCCAATTGTTTCTAAAAAGACATTTCAATTCTGCAAATGCAAATAAAACACAGCGCACTGATGGAATCTAATTAATTTTTTAAAATGAGGCTTATTGATGCCTTTTGATTATATATCATAGTTATTTCTGTAAATATCTAGTTTGGAACTTACTTTGCAAATAAGCAAAAGCGTCATATTCAGTGCTGTGACAGCATCCAACAGTCTGTCTATATGACCTTCTGTCAATGGACTCTCTTTTTTACAAAGGAATTCTGAGGTCTTCTTTGGGGGAATAAAGAGCAGAATAGCTGAAGGCCAAGCACCTGTCCAAAGAAGCTGATGAAAGACTATTTCAGTTATAGGGAAGAATAAAGGGAAATCTGAGGGGTTAGAGGAGAGGAAGGAGGTTATAACCCTTTCTGACTGGGTATATGCATATCCTCAGTGAATCTGAATGGTAACGAAAATATTTTCTCACCTGAACACACACACACACACACACACTCTTACAGAGTCCACAATCATTCAACCCTGTGGGTAGTCTAAACATTGCCACGCTTTCACTTCCAGATTAAGAGCATTCTCCAGTCCTCCTGATCTATATCTGGCCACTGGACCCAGATCTCTGGAGCAGAAAGTGAGGCTGGTGACCTTGCACAGCCCTCCCTCCCTCAAATCAAAGTCAATTGCAATCGTCATTATCTCCCTGATGTCATGGTCCTCTTCGAAAATGAAGGACAAACACAAGAGCTCTGGCAAAGTTTACTTTCTCTGTGCTTTGGGAGAACTTGTTGGGGCAGAAAAACCTCCACCTGCTAGTCCAGAACAGTACATTCATTTCACCCTTCAACAGTCTTCTTATATTTAACTTTGAGGAGAAAATGATTTTTCATTCAATGTAACTTCTCCAAAAATTCATTTATTAAAAAACAAAACCCCCATATATGTGTGTCTCAGGTTCACTTTTCGTCTAGAAAAATCTTAAGACTTGAACAGTAACACGTTAAAATTCACTGTTGGGTCAAAAAAAAAAACCCCAACTATTCAAAAAAAAAGAAAAGGTCACCTCTTTTCTTAGAAAGGCTGTTCAGTGACAGGATATACTTTGCACAAGTACAACTGGGGGAGAATTTTTAACTAAATAAGGAGTAGAGGTAAACCTAGGAAATAAACTAAATAAACACAAAGTTGAAACACTTTTGCACAAATACAATCAGTGCAGCTAGAATTAGAAAAGAAGCAGTAAGTTGAGAAAAATCATTATAGGAAATATCTCTGATAAAAGTCTAATATCCAAGATATATTGGGTTTTAATACAAATCTATAAGAATAAGAGCCACATTCCCCAATACATAAGGAATTAAAGGATATGAACAGGCAATTTTCAAAAGAATAAATGCTCTCTATCAACAATATTAAAGAATGCCTCTGAAGCACTAATAATAAGAGAAATACAAATTAAAACTGAGGCTTCACCTCACACTAAGGTGGTGGCACTGTGAGGGGAGAGAAAGGGGCAGATACAAGAGATGTAGTGGAGGTAGAATGAACAAGACGTGGTAATTGAATAAATATATAGGCAAGGGAGAATGAGAAATAGAGATCTACACTGAGATTATAAATGTGTGTTACCTGACTGGTGTGTAGTTTCCTCAGAAACAGGGAAGTTTGAGAGAGGAGTGGGTTTGCAAGAAAAGGTAAGAGTAAGTTGTATTTTGGACATGTTGAATTTGAAATGTCTCTCAGCATTTGAGATCCAGTTTGAAATGTCACTAGGTAGTTGGTGATGTGGGAGAGACTGGGGTTGAATCTATAAGTCTAATGAGTCATCTCTATAGAGATGATAAATAAAGCCATGGAAGTGGATAAGGAACCTCTATAAAGAAAAGAGGACAGAAGCCCAGGACAGAGCCTTGCAGAACAACCGTATTTAGGAGATGTGATATGGATGATGATCCAGCAAAGAAAAAGAGAAGGAGCCATCAGACACGTAGGAAGAAAACCAGGAAAGTGAAGTGTCACCAAATCCCAGAGGGGAGAAAGGATAGAGAAAGTGGCCAACAGTGTCATCCGCAGCAGAAAGGTCATGTACTGAGGACAGCTGAGGAAATATCATCAGAGATGTAAGAGACAGGGTAAGGAAATGAAGGCAGTTAAGTATAGGTGATGTTCTAAGAGCGTGACTGGAAAATAGACAGGATGTAGAATTGCTTGAGGGGAATCCAGTCTCAAGTTTTTAAAGATGGGGGACACCTGGACATGTTTGAAGTCAACATGGAGGGAACCATTGGATAATGAGAGAATAAAGATAAGAAGTGGAGAGCAGGGTCAAAATGATGAATGGAATAATTTCCTATAGGAGATGGGAAGGAGTGCTGTGGCTACTGTTAGAAAATCAGTTAGGGAATTCCATGTGACAGTGAGGAGCCAGTTGAGTTTCATTTATAGTAGACACTCTTAGCTTGGTTGTGTGACTTTTTTCAGCAGACTTCATAAGTATGTAAGTAGAAACAGACAAGGCAGCTGGTGGGGGTAACCCAGGGTTGGGCTTACCACAACGAGAGTGATGGTAGTACCAAGGAGGCAAGGTATTCAGCAAGTATACTGTGGATCTGGTCAACCATAGGATCAACAGAATTTGAAAGGGGTAGGGACTGAGGGGAATAGGGATGATAAGAAAGAGAGAAGTAGCAGGAGAAAGAAGTTTCCACCTTGGCAGATGTCTGGTAACTCTATATTGCAGGAATAAAAAAAGAGCAGGAACTCAGATTTTGCCTGCTATAGAATGATCAGGGCCCCTACTCTCCAAGGTCCTATGGTAACTGAGCATGGAGTTGGAGTGAGTGATGATTACTCCAGATTCTGGGGAATTGGAATGGAAAGTGTTACTCTGTTGTCTGAGGCAGTTAGTAGTGGATTTTTGGGTCCTCAAGATACATTCAGTGTCAGTTCTGTAGCCTGATCCCAATGGGAGATGAGCCACAGGGAAAAGACAACCTGCCCTCTGGGCAAACACTGATTTCCTAATCTCTGAGTCATTGGAAGTGCAGGCTTTGGACTGTCTTTGGTGACCTTCAGTTTAGGAGCTTGGATGAATGTGAGACCCTTTTCTGAGGCTAAAGTCTAAATTAGAACTCATGTCTCCTGATTTATGGTCCTATCTTCTTTTTACTACATCATTCAAAGTGAACTGTTGGATTGTTTTGGGGTTGTATGTTTTTAATTCTGGAGAGAAATGATCCACTATGTTGTAAAGTCATCTTCCCTGCCTCCAAATCCACGTATCACTCCGTACTGCTCAATGAGGACACATGTTGCTTTGAGCCATCTCTGTTATTATTAAACATACATATACAGTGATGCTGTAAACTCCTTCTGGAGGGCAGATGTCTTATACATCTTGCTCTCTCCCAATTGTCCTCGTCCTTCCTCTGTAGCTAGCAAATGTTAGGCATATAGTAGACTGTAATAAGTATTTGTTGAATGAATGAATGACCTTCCTGGTCCTGTTTTTGTCCATAGGTGATTATTTTGGAATCTTGAAGGAAGCAAGAGTGACAACATTTCCATTTAGCGTCTTGGACAATCCTATGTACTGGGGGAGCACAGCCAACTACCTGGGGTGGTCAATCATGTAAGTATTTAATCTTTTCACTGTAATTAAGAAACCCATTCAGCTTACTATAAGATATCAAACTCTATTGTTAATGATATTATCATTTAAAACCTGTTGTCAATATTATTAGTGATCTCTATAATTAATGATTTTTATTACCACCTGTTGTTAATTATTATCAATTATTGTACTTAAAATAGTTCATAGAACATAGTAGGTATTCAGCAAATGCTTGTTGATTGATTGATTGATTGATTGACTAACAGTAATCTCCTTAAGGGAAGAAAACATGATTTGTTCAGAATTTGAAACCTAAAACAGACCTTAAAGAACACATTCTTGTTTTTTTTTAAAGGACGTGTTCTATTTCTATTATTTTACAAATGAGAAAATTGAGATCCAGAGAAAGGACATGACTTACCTAGGGTCACATAATTAGTAATAATAGAGAAGGGACTAAACTCAAGTCTATAATTCCCAATCTACTGTTTTTTCTGCTTTTTTCCTTTTGTTTTGTTGTTTTGTTTTCTTTTCCATGCTTCTTAGTTCTCTTCACAGGGAGATGCTCAAAAAACATTTGTTGATTGATTTCAGCTACATGAAATCAGTCATGACATTTTGATCTTTTTAAGAGGGAGTCCAGGGAGCTAGGTGGCACAGTGGATAGAGTGTCAGCCCTGGAATCAGGAGCACCTAAGTTCAAATCCAGCCTCAGACACTTACTAACTTCTTGACCCTGGGCAAGTCACTTAATCCTGATAGCCTCCAGAAAAAGAAAAAAATTAAGAGGGAATCCCTGATAAATGCTGGCGTGGTGGTCACCCAGACCGATCTCATGTTGACCCACGCGGGAATCCCCTAGGGTGCTGATATTAATCATTATCATAGAGCGATGAGGAGGGTATTTTTATAGACAAGTTCATCATTTTTCCTATAGAAGGAAAAAAAATCGGCAACTGCTTAATTACTTTGAGTGTCAGAGTGGTCTGGAGGACAGAACTGGGAATCAAGGGACCTGGCTTTGAAGCTAACTCAGTGACATCAGGCAAATCACTTCATATATTTCCTCCCCTGTAAGATGAGGAAGATGAGGAAGATGAACAAGACGATCTCTTCAGGCCTCTTTCAGCCATAATGATTTTGGTTTGTTTTTTTTTTTAAGTGAGGCAATTGAGGTTAAGTGACTTGCCCAGAGTCACACAGCTAGCGAGTGTTGTGTGTCTGAGGCTGGATTTGAACTCAAGTCCTCCGGGGCTGCTGCTCCATTCACTGCACCACCTAGCTGCCCCTTCTGTTTTTCTGTTGACCAAGGAAGATGGTGTTGACTCTCAGTTGGGCAGGTGTGGACTCAGCTGATGGTAGCAGACATTTATATGGTGCTTTACACATTTGTTGTCATTTGAACCTCACAACAACCCTGTAAATATTATAGGTATTATATCCCTATTTTACAGATGAGGAAACTGAGGCCCATAGAGTTAATATGACTTAGTAATACATCCAGAAGCAGATTCTTAACCCAGGTTTTCCTGGCTCCAAGTCCAGCACTGTATCTGTTATGTCAAATTGCCCCGGATGTCATTTGCCTGACTTATAGTAGGTGCTTAATAATGCATGCTGATTGATTGATTCCTTTGTTCAGACAAAGCTCAGTTAGAAAAGAACTTGGTTCCATCAGCACCTAGCAGCCCCAGACAGGCAGCCTTTGTACACTTATTAATGGGGCTTTTGCTCTATCCTACATCCTGGGTATGTTTAGGAGATGGCTAATGACCCTTGTAAAATCATTTCAGCTACAACATAGGCATTAGCAACAATTTCAGTCATCAGGTTGAAAACATGATGGAGGGGAGGGGGAGGTTGGTAGAACTGAGAAAGGAAACAGATTCCAGCCGAAGACATCTGGGATTCTGGCAGCCTCCAGGCAAAGAAAGCCAATAGCTTGTGTGAAAGAAATTTTCATGTATTAGAAGCCGAGTCTACATATCATTCATTTGTGGTGGGAAAAAAAATTATGGCTATTGGGAAATGTGTTCTGAGCTACTCCAGTTCAGTGAAAGTAAGTAAACCTTCTGCAGAAACCAGAAAGCTTTTTTCACTGTTAATGGGGAAAAATCCTCATGGGGCCCTTGGAGATTATAACTTTCTATCAGCCAGGGTGTGCTTAAGGAACCCAGATCCTCAGGTGAGCTGCTAAGTAAGCCTTAGGGATTGTCAGGAGAATGACTACTATTTACTGTTCTGTGAGGGAAACCCAGAGCTGGTACTGTCATGAAGCAGAGTGTGGTGTGTCTGTCTGTCTGTCTGTCTGTCTGGGGGGTGGGGTGGGGGGGGGCAGATGGAGGAAGGATTGATTGTGGCCTGTCTAAGAGCCCATTAAAAATGGGCAATGTTTCATGCAGGCCCCACACTGCTGACCAAGCAGGACTGCTCGTAAATCTTCGTTGAAGGCCATCTGTCTCAGCTCCTGGTGCCCTTCCTCTGCAAGGCTTCAGAGAGAAAGCAGGGGAGGGGGGAAATTGTCATGGATTTTATTAAAACACAAAGCATCTGCACAAAGAGTGACCTGTGTTGTATAAGCTGAGGACCTGGGTTAAGAATCCCAGTTGAAACTCTACCATTACTTAGTTTCCTCAATGAATAGAGGGAACTGGAGCAACATAAGAGACCTGAGCATGGGGTGTGGTGCAAGAACTTTCATAACTTTCATACAAGCATGGAGACAGGGGAGAAGGCAGAAAGGTGTGGTGGGAGTCACTGAAAGGAAGCTTGACTGACTTTCACCATTTTTCCAGGCGTTGGTCCCGCAGATTTCCTGTGAAAGGCACCAGAAAGCCAGGGACCTCGACTCAGTTACTTTCCCTCCAGCTCCAGGTCTGAGTTTTCTCATCTTATATAACAGCAATAAAACTAGAGATGACTGATACTTTCATGACCCCTGGATAGATGCAGAAAAGGCATCTTCTCACCCTTCCATTTGACATGCACAAGTTGGAGAGACATACTCCATCAGAAAGGGATGTGGAAAATTAAACCATTTGGATAAATACCTGTATCTTTCAGGCGTTGAACTAAACTGAAGCAAATCATAGCCAGAAACTTGGAGCGAAGGAGGCTAACATGCTAAACTCCAAAAATTGTTGTTGATGATTTTTAACTAAACCCCAGACTCAATCAAAGTTTCTTTAGGTTGTTGTTGAAATGTGAGAACCTCAAGACCATCTCCCTTTTCCTCCAGTTAGAAGCAACACAGTGTATTGGATAAGTCAACCAGCTTAGAAGCCAGGGAGACCTGGGGTCAAGTTTTGCATCTGACATACTGGCTATGTGACCCTGAGTGAGTCATTTGATCCCTTAAGGGTTATAGGCCAGTGGTGTCAATCTCAAGTAGAAGTGGATCCCTGCCGTCCCAATTACATTTTAATCTGGTTCTGGCCACACTGAGGAGTTTTGCAGCATCCAAAGTATCAAAGAGTTTGATACCATTGTTCCAGGCAACTTTCCTTTACTATAATATGCAGAGAAGCTCTTGACCTTCGTAGGCAGAGAGAACTCCCTACAGCAATGAAATCTCAAGTCTGGGCCTCATCCCTTTCTTCACATCCCTTTGCACTTGAAGCAGCAAATAGATATTAAAATTAAAACTAGAAGGGACCTCAGAAATCTTGGTTGGCCATTCATTTTATAGACGAGAAAACAGAGGCCTAGAATAATGAAATAACTTCTTAAGATTATGTGGTTAGTTAGCAGTCGCTCTGAGTTAAGAATCCAGAGCTCTTGCCCCTCTGCCACGTGGCCTATTCCCCAGACTGGAACAGAATTAGTCTTTGAATTGATCTGTCTATCTGATGCATGATATACAACTGGTCACATTGGTTTTCAGGATCCTTTAAAAACAAAGAAGACTGATCACAGGACTTTTGATTAAGAGACTGAAGTCCCTACACTGCGCCTGTCACTGCCTCCCAGGGAACCTTACAACATTGGTTTTAGTAAAGATAAAGATCTTTACTAAGATGCCCTCCCTCTTCCTTCAAGATAGTTCAATCATCACTTTCTATGCGAAACCTTTCCTGATTTCTCCCAACCATTCTATGTGCACATATATATATATATATATCACATAAGCCCACAAACACACACATACACACACATTTACATGCATATAGTGTAGCTCCCAAACTACCTTGTATTTATTTGTACATTTATTCTTTATATATTTGTAAATGTACTTGTAGGGATTGTTTCATTCCTTGTATTTTTGTCCCCACTGCCTAGCCCAGTGCTGCCAGGTAATAGGCTCTTAATAAATGCTTTAAAAAAAAAAAGTCCTTCTACCAACTAAGAGCTATTATTAGGACAACCAAAGAGAGGCTCCCTTTGGATGCTTTGAGCTTCTTGGAAGAAAGGTGAACCCAAGGTATTCATTATGCAATTGTCCAGGATCAAGAGAAGGCTTGGGACCATCATATAGCTGTTCTATTGAGACCTAAAGAGCATAGTACAGTGCCACGAGTCACAAAGCCAGTGAATGTCACTAGGAATTCTTGCTTATAAAACAGGCTGGTTTTCGTATTTAAAACTAAACAAGACAAAAACCACCACTTGTACCCCTGTCCCTGTGAAAGGAGTGCCATTATGAAATCAGCATCTGGGCAGAGGTAATTCTAGTAAGGTTTTTCAACCTTTTGAGGAAGTAAATAAACATGTAATCAAAGGGGAAACACAAGGATGTCATTTATTTAGACTTTCAACAAGGTTGCTAACTTAAGTGTTTTGTTTTTTTTAATTGTATGTTTTGTTATTAATAAGGAAGTAGTTTAGTGACCAGAAGTAGTGACCAATGGATACTTCTCTGGACACTGAAGTATAAACAAGAGGATTACTATTGCTGCTAAGGGTGTTTCTTATAAATGACCTAGGAGAGAAGGTGGTTATGACACAAGAAAAGGATTTAGGAGTCACTGCCTGCTGTTCCCTAAAGTATTCACCCCAAAGCTTTATCAGTCAGCTTGTATTTGTGAATTTCCTATCAGGCACTGGTGATACAAAAACAGTCCCCATCATCAAAGATCTCGGGGGACAACATGGACACATACAAGGTACACAAAACATACAAAATAAATACAAGGTAATTTTGGCAGGAGGTTCTTAGAAGCTGGGGCGAGGGGAGGTGGCCGCAACGTGAAAGGGAGGTCAGGAAAAGCCTCCTAGCATTAGCTTTTGAGCTGAACTTTGAAACAAACTAGGGGTTCTGAGAAGCACAGGTTAGAAGGGGGTGCAACAGTTTGTGCAAAGACATAGATTATGAAAGAAATGACCACCAAGAAGAGTACCAGACTATGAGATACCTATCCCAGAAAATTCCATGCAGTTTTGGACATTTTGCCTCAAAGGAGACAGAACTGGAGAGAGGGAATAGAAGTAATCAAAAGGTTGGGTGTTTCCTTATGAAGAAAGACAAAGGCCTATTCAGCCTGGAAACATAAAGCAGATATGATTAAGAAATTTTGCAATAGGGCTTTAAGAACTGATTGACATTATGGAATTTATAGGTCAGAGGGACAAGCATTCTCTCTCAGCGCTAAGAAGAGATTTGGATTATCAGAGTCTTTGAACTGGGAGGTGGACTTGAGTCATGCTGAGGAGATTTTGAAAATTCCTGTTTTAAAAATCCAAAACCAAAACAGGCTGCAAGAGGGCATCTGCCAGGTTTTATAGAGAAGGAATTCCTCTTTGGATGAAAGCTTGGACCAGATGACCTATAAAGCCCCTTTTAAGATTCTTTAATTGAATGAAAGAAAGAATGTAGTGTTGTGCAATTGCAAGGATTATTATTATTATTATTAAGAAGAATCTTATTTGTAAGCAGCCCCCTCTCTGTTCTCTGAGACATACCTGTGTACAGTATAATGGGGGAGAGGAAAGTAAGAAGTAAGGAAGGAATGGCCCCAGTAAAGAGCCATACTTCTATTGACATTAGAGCATCCATTGTCTCAAAAAGATAATCAACTCCCCTCCTCACATGAACAGGTCCTCATCTTGTTTTCTGCCTTACTAGTAATTAGGAGCTATGAATCCAGGAACAGTGTCTTATTTTTTCTTGTCACCCTCCCATGTCTCCCAGTGCCTAATACAGTGCTTTGAATATAGTAAGGATTTATTAAATATTTGTTCAAATGAATTGCTTGGTTACCTACCCAAACCCTTCTTGAATGACATTCAAAATCCTATTAGCACTCCCCTTGACTGCTACTCTGATCTCCAAAATTTGTTTTAATTAAAAAACCTGATGAGGCCACCATACTAGGCGGACTTGGAAGATATTCTCTTGGCCCTTTCCTCATCACTGACCTAGAAGGGAGTTTGTGAGAGATTAAAAAACTGTGTACCAGCTCCAATATAGAACTTGTGTTACAAGACTATGGTGCCCAATACCAAAACTAAGCAGATATTGAGAGTTTCTACTGATTACAGCCTATTGACTTTGAAGCTGGCAGTCCAGAGACCTCCCTCCTTCCGTTCATCCAAAACCATTAGCCCATTAACTGTTAACCTGTAAGAACTAGCATATTCCAGCCTGAGAATCAGAAGGTAACTATAGAAATAAATTGGGGAAACAGTATGACTGCGGCTATTTCTAGAAACAGGAAGCAGATGTGGCTATGACTCCTCAGCCTTTGTCACGAAGAAGCTGTTCCTTTTCATTAGCCTTAGAAGTCGGAAGTTAAGTCAGGTCCATGAAAAATACTTTGAATGAAGAGATGGGATTTTCGTTTCGACTTGCACTCAGCCAGGCATATGGGCTGTTCTGCTTAGATAGAAGATGAAGTACTTCTCATTTCCCTGCCCTCTCCTGTAACAAGGGCAGAGTCAAACCTTCAATGGCAATTTTAGAGTGGGGGAGAAGGAATCACAAGGAGCTCCTGAGTCCCTAAACTTCACATTCTTATTTAGCCAAGAAATCAAAACTTAGAGCATACAGGCACAGGTGAGAAGAGAGTACAAGAATTCACTCACCACCCAGAGGCCAGTGAATTTTCTAGGTACTCAAGCTCTTGGGATGTATGGAAAATTTAAGAATGGATCGCCACTGCCACTATCAGTACCACCATAGTGCATAGGGAAATCTTATATGTATTCATGTTACTGCTTTTCCTCTAAGAGGAAGCTTACTAGATGTGGGGATTAAGGAGACTTTGGATAGTAGTATGGTTCAGTGGAAGGAGCACCGACTTTAGAGCCAGAGGACCTGAGTTCAGATCCTTCCTCTGTGTGACCTTGCTAACTCACTAAACTGCTTTGGGTCTTGGTGTCCTCATCTGTAAAATGAAGGGGGTTGGAGTAGATGGTCTCTAAAGTCCCTTCCAGCTCTTAATCTATGATCCTATGGTCCAATGATCAATGGACACTGAAGTTCATAATAATAATGGTATGTTAGAACTTCCATATAATACCTACATACTGTCAGTCAGAATTCTGCTTAAGATGGATCTGTCTTCCATGCCCAGAGGCTTAACTCCTAAATGACAGGTCCTTGTTAGGAGTCAGTTTCCCCCTATATAAGGTGGTCCCATGGTGAGAATCCTGAAAAAAGCATTATAGGAAGATTCCTTCAGAGGACTGATATGGTGTCACATGAAATGACTCCAAGCTAAGGCCAGGCAGGCCCAGTGGCATGTTCCAGGTTTGAGCTAAGGCCTTCATTATAAGCTTTCTCCTAAACTAAGTCCATCCTTGCATAAGGCATACGAAAACACCTAAAGGGGGCCTGGCAGTTCCATTGGACAGTAAATGGATCATGATGCTCATGTAAAGAGTAGCATATAGTTGATTTGACTCTCCACTATGAACTATCAAGGTTTGGTCTCTGGCCATTT